TAACAGGATCAAATAGACTGTCGAATAACAAACTCTACCCTAGGACCACAACCAAACAAGGAACAGGAAATAAGGCCAAATCAATTATTCTAAGGCTATAAGATCCTAATCGTATACAATTTTTTAAGCATACATGTAGCAAAATCCATCCGACTATCACATTCCAAATATCAATATAGCATGGCTAACATATTGGGGAACCACTTACTTGAGGTCGGCCGATTACGCGCATTGCACTCTCCCTTTTTCGGTTTTAAAAAGTTTTTGACTTTTGATTTTTGAAAACAATTTTACCATTTCCTCAGTTTGAGTCCTGACACACCCGAGAGTGTGCCGAATCCCTCAAACCAAGGCTCTGATACCAACTTGTAACAACCCAAATTTCCAATAAAAATTTTCATTTTAAATAACCAAATCATTTACATAAGATATAAAATTCCATTCACATTTGTTTTCAAAATCCATAACATTAGATAAATTATTCATAATATCAGAGTGTCCCGAATAAAATGCCAGAGAGTGCATGCCGCGCCATCACGTCGGGCTCTTGCCCTTAGATCCTGAAGTATCTGAAACAACCAATAAACTATAAGCTAATGCTTAGTGAGTTCCCCAGAGCATACCCCACATAATCCACATAATCACATAAGCCATGCATATAAATATGTAAGGATGTCGTAGAAACCCTCCAAGGTCTTACTCCACGATGCCGTGGGCTCCTCCCATGGTCTTATACCTATGTGGCTTGGGCTCCCCCTCATAGTCTTTACCTGGAATGTCATGGGCTCCCCCATGGTCTTTACTTGGAATGCCATGGGCTCCCCCCATGGTCTGATATCCAACTGCCACGGGATCCCCCCGGGGTCTTCCATGCAAATAACACAGAGTCAAATAGCATACCACATATCACAAAAATAACTAGCATACCACATAACACATATATAAACATATAGGGATGTCGTGGACTCCCTCCAGGGTCTTACTCCAGGATGTTGTGGGCTCCCCCCAGGGTCTTATACCTATGTGTCATGGGCTCCCCTCATGGTCTTTACCTGGAATGCCATGGGCTCCCCCATCTGATATCCAACTGCCACAGGCTCCCCCGGGGTCTTCTATGCCTAACCAATAAGGTACTAGCACATTCACATACATACTAGGCATATCAATAATGATTCCACAATAACCATCACAAACTAACTGAATGGGCCGGCCTTGGTGCCTTCGACCCCTTTGGTATGGTGAGAAGACTCACCTCTCAAGGAATGCTGAACTGATACGATCAAATCCCGACTCACAGCTCCGAACTCAACTGCCTACAACCACCATGTGACCAACTTCGTCAAAATCCCGAAATACCAAAGATACCCTTAAAGTCAAACTTAGTCAACCATGGTCAAAGTCAAAGTCAATAGGAAAGGTCAACAGTCCATGTTGACCCAACTCGTCGAGTACACTTACTGACTCGTCGAGTTCCTTTAGTTCCTCAGAAAACCAGGAAAAACCCTAGTCAACTCGTCGAGTTATCATAGCAACTCATCGAGTTTGAACAGTGTCCAAAAGATCGGGGAAACCCCAAGCCAACTCTCCGAGTTGGCAAGGCAACTCGTCGAGTTTTTCTTGTCTTAACTTATTCAGCCACTTTTATGCGAGTCTAATGCCCCAAACTATAGATCTGGTCCCCTAGGATTGAGATACCACGTAAAGTTGCCAACTTTACGTCCATTCATGGTATGAAAGGGCTAAAACACTCCATTAAAGCTTTATTAAGGAACTTAGGGCATGGAAGAGGGCCAATACTTGATAAAGCTTGAGACTTTAGGCCCAAGGGGCCACAAAACATCCAGATCTGAAGTGGCAACTTCAAGTAATGCATCATTCCAAAAGTGACTCCAATATGAACCAAAATTGGCAAAGTACTTTCGTAGAAGGAGATCTAAGCAATAAAAGGCCAAGGTATCGACTTTATTCCTCACAATGGTTGCCACAACAGTGTAGACATCGTATCTACAACCTTCCTCTCAATCAACACTCTTCAAGCTTCAAGTTCCTTCCAAAAGAGCACCAAAAATCACACTCCAAGCTCACACACACACAAAATGAGGGATGAAACACGAACTAGGATTTCTCTGGACAAAGGGGGCGATAAGGGAGGCTAAAAATGAGGCTTAAGGCCTTTAAATAAGGTGCGAACCCTAAAAATTAGGGTTTCATGTTCAGCCTTCAACTCGTCGAGTTGGGACCTTCCAACTCGTCGAGTAGACCCTAAAAGATACGCGGCTGGAAAGCTCTCTACACGACGAGTTGGAGCCTCCCAACTTGTCGAGTTCCATTCCAAAAACTTGAAAATTGATATATTTATTTCATACCTGGACCAAGTGTTACAAAATTGCCCCAAATAATGGTGTTTGGTTCATAGAATGTTTACGAAAGAATTGAAATATATCAAGGAATTGGAAATTGTCACGAATTGTACTCAAATTCCATAGTCTGTATGGTTGACATAAAATGAAATTGGAATCCAATTCTATATTTTGTTTGGTTGGAAGGAAATAAAATTGGAATGATGTAATGATATAATTGCTTTTTTTTTCTTAATTTTATATTGTTTCATAAGTTATATGTGTTGGTTGGTGATGGTTGTGGTTGTGGTGGTAGTAGGTGGTGGAGACAGTGGTGGGTGATGTTGGCGATGGCCGTAGAGGTGGTGGTGGCAATGGATGCTAGCGGTAGTCGTAAGTGGTGGTAGTAATCGTAGCGGTGGTGGTGGCAGTGGGTGGTGATCGTAGTTATGGTGATGGTAGCTGCGAGGGGTGGTCATAGCGGTGATGGTGGTAGCGACGACGACGTTGGTGGCTAGTGACGGCGATAGTGGTGGCGAGTAATGGTAGTGGCGATGGCGGTAGCGAAATCATTGGCGATGGTGGTGGTGGTGGCGGCGATAGTTGTGGTGACGGGTGGTGGTGGTGGCGATGGCGGTAGTGGTGGGTATTGGTAGTGATGGTGGTAGAGGGTAATATGACATTCTTGCATTTTCCTCATAAATTGGAATTAATTTCATTCAAACTTTGAAGAAAAATCACTTTCATTCATTTTACGAAAAATATTCTAATTTAAAAATCCAATTAGAGTTAAACTAAACAGTGGAAAGTTATTAATTCCTAAAATTTCATTAGATTCTAACGAATCACATACCCTGTTGTTTTACTTTGGGTTTATGCCACAAAAGCCACTATATATACAATATTGTTTTGTTTTAGTCACAATTTTACCTTTTGTTCCTCATTTTCTATTATATTGTATAAAATGTTTCATTTTCGGGCCTTTGATCGTTCTCCAACATGTCATGATGACGTGTCAATTTTGCATTTTTCTCAATTTTCATTTTGCCCCAACATTTACGCATGAGTTTGCATTTAGCCCCAACATTTACGCATGAGTTTGCATTTAGCCAAAACATTTACGTATGAGTTTGCATTTAGCCCCAACATTTTTTTGTTCCCCATTTGCCATTACTTTTTAGAAAAAAAATTCATTTTAGCCCTTGATCAGTCATGAATAGTTATTTTAAAACGTAATAACTTAAAATAAAAAAAGAAAAAACAAAGGCAATAATCGAAATTGTGACTTCTCCTTGAGGGTGAAGCGTGTTAGCTAGTAAGCCAATGACTTTTTTTTTGTATTATTATTGTTTGTTGTATTTAATGTGAACATGTATCTTAAAATGAAGGAAAAAAACTTAGTGTAAGTCTCGAGTTCGAGACATCTAATAAACGATGTGACATGCTAATTTTTAAGTTAATCAAATGGTTATTTCTAATAAATTATGTGACATGCCACACTTCTCAAGAAGAATTATTTGTTAATTCATTTGTAACTCATCTAAGAAACAATTGGTTATTTTAAATGACATATTTGTTGAGAAACCAAATATTTCTAAAGAGTCGAAATTGCGACTTCTCTTTAAGAGGCGGGGCGTGTTAGCTAGTAAGCCAATGACTTTTTTTTTCTTTTTGTATTATCAGTGTTAGTTGTATTTGGTGTACACATGTATTTTAAAATGAATGAAAAAAGACCTAGTATAAGTCTGTGACATCTAATATGACATTCTAATCTTTAAGTCAATCAAAATTGTTAATTCATTTGTAACTCATCTAAGAAACAATTGATTATTTCTAATGACATTTGTTGAGAAACCAAATATTTAAAATACCTATTCGTGACTGGCCAAAGGCTAAAATGAATTTTTTTCTAAAAAGCAATGGCAAATGGGGAAAAAATGTTGGGTCTAATTGCAAACTCATGTGTAAATGTTGGGGCTAAATGAAAACCCATGCATAAATGTTGGGGCAAAATACAAACGAGAAAAATGCAAAACTGACATGTCATAATGACCTGTTGGTGGCCGGTCAAAGGCCCGAAAATAAAACGTTTTCTAAAATAAAATGTTAAATGAGGAACAAAAAATAAAATATGAATTAAAACAGAACAAAATTGTATATATCATGGTTGTCAAAATCGCGATCCTGATCGTAGGATCGTACGATCCTATGATCCTAGGTATGAAAAACGATCCGAATTGTAAAAGATCGTATTTGGGGTATGATCGCAGGTAGGATCGTAGGATCGAGATCCGATCCGATCCTACCTTCCCTTGAATTTTTTTTTCTTTTTTTGCAAATAATCTTTTTTACCACTTTATGTCTTTTACCCTTACCAATCTACCATTTATCATTTTTTATCGTGACTTATGACTAATATTTTGAAGTTTTTATAACTTTTGAACGAAAAATTAAATGTTTGAAATATTTTTCATGATTAAATATTATAAATTAAAATTATATTCTATTTTATGGGATATTAAGACCTCGATCCCGATCTTGACAACCTTGGTATATATAAAATGGTGTAGCATGAATCCTGCCTTTTTTTTGTAAATACATTTTTTTTAAAGGGTAATTGGTTTTTAGTTTGCCCCCCTCTCAAAACCTATACATTACAGAGGTAGTCACTTGTACTAACTATTCTTCAAAACCTATAATGTACGGGAAGTCGACTGTGAGTGAGTTTGGTGGGAATCCGCCTGTGGTTAGTAGCACCACCGAGTCGGAAGTAATTCGGGGCCATCCCGATGGAGTCGGTAGCAATGGAGTTGATTCGATTGACGACCGGAATGTCTCATACGGGCTCGACGACGCGGACGGCGGGAGTGATGACATTTGTGATTTTGAGGGAATCGATGGGGTTGTTTACTCGGACCTCTCCGTAATGCCGAGGGGAGACGCCGGTGACCAGCTCACTCTCTCTTATTGTGGCCAAGTCTACGTCTTCGACAATGTCACAACGGACAAGGTCAAAATATTGACTCTTGTTTTCATCGTTTACTGTGTAAAGTTAATGTTTCTATGCAATAAAATTTGTATGTGGGATCATAATTGTATTTTTGACTGAAAACTAGAATGAGAAGAAAATAGAAATTTGGAGCTTCTTTTTTTTTCACTTGGTTATGTTGGTTTTGACAAGCTGAATTCGCTTTTGGGTTCCTTGATGGAGTTTTTGAGTTAGTCTGTATAACACAAGTAAAACGTGGGGGTTTTGTATTTATGAACGTTGATGATGTGGTTGTTGGAAAGAGTAATTAATGTTTTGTTAGGGTAGATTGACAAAGAAAACTCTATACTGATGAGCGATCAATCTTGAAATATGAGTTTATTTATTTTTATCTGTGGGTTTGAAATGTTTGATTGATGATGACAATTGACAGGTGCAAAAGGTGTTTTTACATCTTGGGGGATGCGAATTCCCAGTTGGTCAGCAAGGTGCAGAATTAGCATACCAAAATGAGAGAGTAATAATTCTTAATTGCATTTGGCATTTGGCATGTGTGACGTGTGTAATTAAAATTAAAATTGAATTTGTTTTGCGGTTCAGGATTTTGATTATCTTGCTCGCTGTAGCGACCCTCGCAGAGCTGCTTCTCTGAGCAGGTTCCGTCAAAAGAGGAAAGAACGTTGCTTTGAGAAGAAGATCAGATACAATGTTCGTCAAGAAGTTGCTCTTAGGTAACAACATAACATAACATGACATATAGTATTCAAAACCATTCATTAGCTCTCAAATTTTAAATAATATAAAGACGTATCTTGTATCTGAAAGGGACTTGGTTCTTTGCACTTTATAATATTCTAGACACAAAAACAACACAACTGATTGCAGAAACCATATC